GTAATCACCTTTTTAAAGAGAGGGAAAATAGCTAACCGGGTTTTGGGAAGGAGAAAAAAAAATCATTCAAAATAGAAGCTCAAAACACAGAGCTGGATAGACTGACATGCTACATTTATTCCTCTTGGATCCACCCTAGGTTCAGAGACCTATCACTGCAACAATGCTGGACTGTGACGTGCTCATAAAGGAGCTAGAATTAGATATAGAAAATGAAGGTGTGATTTATGTGGCGGGTCTAAAGAAGTCATTAACAGAGACAGACTTGCAAGAAGAATTCAGCCAGTTGAAAGACCTAGAAGCTTTGTTCCTGCCAAGGGATCTCCAGAGTGGAAAGCACAGGAACTGCTGTTTCCTCAGTGAGTAGCTTTGCCTGCAGCCCATTTATTTCCTTCAGGCTCATTCAGCAGCCTTTGGGGACCTGCACAGACACAGCAAGAGCAACTGAAATTTGGTATGCACAAAGTGGTAGCATCTGGAATACTCCAGTGAAAGCACACAGTGTTGCTTTAAGGAGCAATTGACAACTAAATATTTAAGGAAAGAAAAACTGCTTAAAAAGAATCTTTTTTCTACAAAAAGTTCCAAAATGTTTCATTGGCTCCAGTCCAGAATGAGAGGTGACTACTGTGCAGCTACTCACTGACAAGTGGTCACCTCTAAAAAGAGAGGGGGTGAACGACTGGATGGATGCTGTTGCAGTTAACTGGCCCGTCTGTGGTTCTGATGCTTACCCATAACAAGCTGAGGCTCTCCTTACTGCTGGGATTTCAGTTTCTCATCTCCCTCCTGTTCCACACCTTTAGTCCTGCCCTACAGGTGCTAAGGATCAGGGCAGCAGCATCACTGGCAAAGCATTTTCCCCCTTCTCTTTGCAGAATTCCAGAAATCAGAAAGTGCTGTGGATGCCCTTGAAGTTATAAATGGATGGGCAATGACGGGCAGCAGGCTAAGAAGTAGGAAGGCTCTTGCGCCAGGTCACCTCTGGAGATGGATTGGGCAAATGGATCACGGCAATGGGAAGCAAAGAAGAAATATTTTATGTGAGGAAAAGGAGCAACAATCTGACTCTGTGAGTTTAAAGCTAAGCTCATCTTTACTGTAGTTAGTGAGAAGGTGGCTGATAGTGACCTAGGTACTGCTCTGGGAATCAGAAGTCATAACTTTGAGCAGACTTAGGTGCAGAGCTACCTGTAGCAGGGTGATCTCTTTTTACAGGAGCAAAAAGACGGCTAAGGGTCAGTTCCTGCAAAGCAGTTTGGAGACGTAATATCAAGTGAGATAATGTGGCATTTGTGGGGCACTGCATAACCTAGAAAACCAGCATAGCTACTTTGAGGCAGCAAGTGGTGCTTATACAAGAACTGAATCCTACCACTTAAGAGCAGGCAGAGCAATTCACAGGTGCAGCAAAGGGCATGGGCAGCACAGAGAGAAATGACTAGTGCTGTAGCCCTACAGGAAAGAACAGATCTAGTGGCAGCTGTCATTTTTACTGGAGGAAGCGGCAGTGCCATTGAAGTAGGGCACATGGTTCTCCCAGCTGCTGAGCCATTGTGCTTCCAAATGCCAGCCAGAAACAGAATCACTGCTGTCCTCCCTGGTTCAGTCCCTGACAGTGCTATGGGATCAGTTTCACCGTAAGGGCAGATGAATAGGGGATTTTAATGCTTATATTCTGTTACACAGGAACAGGAGTTAAGGAAAAAGCTGAAGAAGCTAGACCAGCACATCAGGAAGCTTTATAGACGTCTGCAGAATAATACCCTGTGCATTGTTCTCTTTCCTGGGGTGAACAGGTAATTTGCCCCCTATATTGCAAAGGGACGAGGAAAATACGTTGCCAAACATTTTTATCCTTAGCTACGAAAAATTAAAACCCTGCACAAGGAAATTTAAGTTAGCTGGGAGAAGGCCTGAAGAAGCTGTTCCACTTACCTGGTCTGACTTGTGTGTTAGGGCAATTAAACCTGAACAGGAGCTCCTGCCCATAAGCCATGCCTGAGCCAGACTAAGCACAAGTGCTGAAACCACTTGTGTAGCTGATGGGCTGGCATAGCAAGGCTGAAGTACACAGCGCTAATTAACAGTACGATACTTCTAAGTTTACCTACCGTCCCTGTTATATGTTTCGTCTCTGTCTTCTCTATTCTGAAGTTGGTTCAGCTTTGCTAGCAAGGCAAGTTTTATGTGCCTAAGAGAACTAAGCCAAGTTTCCACAGCAGCCACATTGGGGTGGGGAGGGTTGGTTGGATTTTGTTTGTTAGTTCAAAACTAACAATCTCACCACTCTAGCCCAGGGCGCCAGTTGCAAGGGGACAAAGCCCTGAGTTGAGTTGGGCTTCAGAGGTAGTATCAGGGATGCTGCTAGATGAGGTGGGCTTCCTGCACTTCAAACCTTGGGGCTTGAACTGCCACAGTCATTCAGTGCTTAATAATTAACCAGAAAGGTTAAATCTTTCCCAGGCAAGGCCCAAGCTACTGAGTACGTACTGATTTCAACAGACGTCACTCTGTTCTCTTACTGTGCCACTGTTCAGACTTTCAAACATAGGTCACATCTACCCTTGCTTTTCTTCAGTTTCTCTTCGATAGCAGCAGGACCATTCCTTTGCTGAAACAGAAATATCTTGTGCTGAAATAGAAGCAGGGAGACAGAGCTGCTCTCAGCAGCATCTCTTCTGCCTGACTAGGCAGCTAGGCCAGGTTCTCCTTGCCTACTTTGAAAAGCTTCTTGAGGAAAAGAATCATGATGCTGTATTATCCTGTAGACCAAACACGCTGTCCCTAGAAAGGAGATGTATTCCCAAGCCAAGAGTACATTTAGGCTCAATGCCAGTCACAAACAACTCAGCAAGGTTGCATGCCAAGGACTGCTGCTGGCATGCACTACACTAACAGTTCAGTTTCTAACAGCATTTTTAAAAATAATAATTATTTTTAAATAACTATTATTTCCTTAAGTAAAGATTTTTTAGCTGCTGCTTCTACACACATCCCAAAGGAATTGCTATCTCGTTTTTGTATGCTGTTATTCCAACTTAGCAGAAAACAGTTGAGTGTGTAGCTAACCTCATGCAAATGTTTTCTTGCACAAGCTTTTTCTTAATCACCTAACAGCATTAGTTTAAATTGGCCATGGGGGAGGCGTGAACTGAGGCCTAACCTCCTAACCAAGGAGTTTAGGCGTGCACTTGGTCCTTTGATCAGCTACTGCCTGCATTTGGGCTGCAACTGAGTCAGTCTACATTTCTGAGCAGTCGTTTGCCTCTTATCTGGCAATTTAGCACCTTGTTTTGTTTATTAACCTGCCAGCTCCATGGAGAGCTTTTGGCAGGAGGTGTCCGTGGAGCTACACACGCTCATGTTTCTTCTGGAGCGGATTCACTGGCCTCAGCAGGTCCAAATTTACTTCAAGTGCCAGCTCAAACTAGTCTTAGCATAAACTTGCCTGTTGTCTCGCTTCAGTAAGGTGCATGAATCCAGCCTATTAGCAGAATAGGCAGTTTCAGGAGTTTGTGTCCCCAAGGAGGAGGCGCTAGAAGCCCTCAAACACTAGGCTCGCATCAGTGAAGGAAGAAGGGCACTCCAGTCCAGACTTGGAAGAGTTTCTTGCCAAGCAAGGTTTGTGAATTACTGTTTTCCAGAGGCTGACGATTCATATAGTACGTTTGTTGTTTCAGAAGAATGCTAAGCAATTATTGGAGGGAGAAAAGATTGCTTTTTTAACCTGCTGACCCTGAGGGTTGCAGGCCTTTCACTGCTAGACCAGCTAGCTTACATGCATCAAGGCTACCCTGAACAGCAATAACACTCCTCTTGTTTATGTTGCAGCATACATGGATCACAGTCTGGCCTTGGTCTGATGGGAATAAAAGATGACGGAGCGAGGAGTGCTTGTTAAGTTGCCAAGTTTTTAAGCAAAGTCTTTTGTTAAGATATTTTTAATTACTTTAAATATTGATGTATTTGTAAAGGTCTCTCTCGTACCATAAGAACAATAGGCTTTCATGTTGCATCTTTCATAAAGTCTAAAAATAAAAGCTATTCAAAACATTTTAAAGCGCAAACTCTTTTCCATTAACCCTTTCTTGTTGTGTCGCTTTTCCCTGGCGGTGAGCTAGGCAAGTGCTTAGGAAGGGCTGGGGCATCGCAGGGGAAGCGTTGCAAAGAAGCCAGTCAGTACTGGCCTGAAAGATTTAATTCAGCAAGTGGTTCATGCAAAATACTGACATGCCAGCTGTCTTCACTAAAACACTGCAGGTCATAAAACAGCCAGCTAAGTTAGTGTAGTACCTGCAGCAGCTGCTCAGCGGTTAAAAGCTGTTGTTGGGAATTGTGGGGATTTCTGGAAGCGTGCTGTGCCAGCTGTTGAAGAGAGGCGCTGCCTGCTTTCCGGGAAAGCACTGTACTTGGTCCACGGAACGCAGGAATTGGTGATTCACACTTTTTGGACCATCTCCACTTTCTCCTCCCTCCCTGA